TCAATGAGTGATTGAAATGATGCCACCAAGATGGGGGAGGGACTCTGCAGAGGAAGTTGCTGCTGATCGTCCGATTATTCCGCGGTTGGGAAATTGTTTCCTGTCATTCAGATAGGTCAGATATTTTAGAATGTTTGCAGATGATTTCGAATTTTGCGTCATTTGTGCTAATGAGCATTAGATAATGTTTAAAAATTCTTTATGTGAAATGTGTCATTTACTTGTTTCTTTTTACATTCTTGAAAAATTCTTCAAAGTAAAATAAATGTTATCTGGTGAAATATTAAAGGATATTTTTGTAAGCTTAATCTTTATTTTTTATTTGGAGAAGTTGCTCGCTTAATAACATGCTTTTAATTAGGGGAAAGATATTTTGATTTTTTTCTCCCTGCCTTTTAAGAGATATATCAACTCTGAATATAATCTTGTAGGCTTTCCCCATAAATATAGAAAGAGTAATTTCCTTATTTTAAATAAGTTGTTTTTGGTGCAAATAGCCTTTAACTCTGCATTGAATTCAACTCAACTATAGTTATTTGGTTGTCATTGAAAAGAAATGTACTTAAAAAGTTTAAAATTATACGAAATCCACATGAAAAATTAAATTTCTTGAACGTTTTTTATATTCGTTTAAGCTTGATGAAATGGGAACCCTATTTGATTAGGCCTAGTTTATTACACTGTAGACAAATTATAAAGAAAATAATTTTCCTGTAAAATGTGTTTTGAATTGTGCCAAAAGTTTAATATTTTTCCTCTTTAAAATAAAATTGCCGGTTTGTGAAAGTGAATCCTATTTTTGTTAATAACTTTATGATTTATATTTTAAATCTTAGATTACATTTGTAGAATTATTTATTACGATTGAAAGTATGGAATAATAAAATTTTTCAACTTTAACTGGCAATGATTCCTAGGAAGGGAGAGAAAAATCAGATCCAAGAGTAACGTCTTTATAAAAGTTGATCGCTAAGGAGGGAACAACTTCCTCGGGCATCCAGTTACGTTCAATCGACGACTAAAATCTAGGTCTAGATTTTTATTTTTATTTTAGTTAAAACATTTAAATTTATTAGGCCAATACTTCACTTTAACTAAATATATTATGAAAAATTAAGATTTTCGAACATAATGAATTTTTATTCCCTAGTTTAATTATTTACATTAAAGAATATAGTGTAGAAAATTAAAAAAAAAATTTTTTTCGTATAAGTGATTTTTAAAATAGGGTTTTAAATTTTTATAAGCATCCGTCTTATATTTTTCTTTTAATTTAATGAGGTTTTTGCCTCATCAGAATTTACATTCTCTTCGTGGGCACCTAATAGAAGGGTTTGTCGCAGGAATCCGCGCCACTGAAGTTGATATTTAATATATTCTAATTTCCTCTCACAATCATGGGAAAAGAACGTTTATCTCCCCTCATCAGAAGATTTATAATGCAGGAAAACACGATGTCTTGACCTTCACTACTTCCTTCTGATTTTTGAAAATCTTCATCTCGTACATTGCTTTACTAATGAAGCGTGATTTTTTTTAAAAAGAAAGTTTATAATGAACGAAAATAAAATTTTCTATCTCCAAGTGTGGCGACAAAACAAATAAGAGAATTAAAAGTGTTCTTGAGAAATAACGTCAAGTTTCGTAAACTTCATTCTATTCCTATCTGCCTTAATGGTCTTCTCCTTGAGTTTTATTTTAGAAGATGCTCAGTTCAACCGGAAAGCTTGTTGTACATTTACTTCCGTTCTTCGGTGTTCCAGAACAAACATTCTGTACATACTCCGAAATTCGAAGAGTATACCAGCATCCTGTTTATCTTTTCTTCGGATCAGCTGTTATCCTTCAACACTTGATCGTTTTTATTTCTTAAGTTAAATTCGCTTGTTTCTTTCGTAGTATTTTTTTTTTCTTTTCGAACGTCGCATCAGGAAGTGATGTGTTTACAATTTGTAATCTACGACAGTATTTAATAGCAAATGTTGTGGTGATAAGTTTAATCTTTTTTTTTTATGGCTGTTTTTCTTATCTGATAAGACTAGGGTTGTCATTATCAGTGTTTACTAAATGAAATGCTGATTCGATGTTGTAGGAAGGGGGGGAATTCAGCTCCTGCCAAATAACAGGGGTGTCAACGATATGCAATTTTTCACAATTTCAACCCTTATTTCAAAATTAAAAGATACAGTGAAAATATGTCATTATTACGAAGTCAGAATATTTAGGAGAGTGTAGTCCAATGCTTTACACATTTTATCTCAACATGTTTCTATATTTTTAATTTTAAAAACTAGCTCTTGTATTTTCGAAATAAACAATGTGGTTTAGTTTCGGAATTGTAGGTTAAGTTTTTGATTTGATTTTTTAATGAATTTTTGAGTATCAGATCTGGCACTTTCAGACTAGTTTTAAATTTACAAGCAACATACATATTTTTCCATTTTATTCTGAGCTTTACAATATTTTATGCATCTTTTTTTTTAATGAAAAAAAATTTGTCTCCTTTACCTTAATCATATATAGTAATTAAGAGATATTGAATGATTTTTGTTTTCCGTTGATAATTTTAGTGTTGGATATAATTTTGTATTCACACGTAAAGAACCTTCTAGAAAGACAACTTCTGGAAAGAACGTCATTGGGAAATATTTAATAAATAAGGCAATATTTAAAATGTAAAGCATAATTTTGAAGATGTATCTGTAAAGGATCCCGTAATCCAATTTTATAAGTATAAAAAACCTTATACAAACTGAACTAGAAAACGATATTTGGCTTATTTTTTAGTTTTGCATTTGCTGATTTTTTTCATTAAAGAACAGTCTGGGATTATTCATGCTGAATTGAGCTTTTTTTTCCCCCTCTCAATCGGTGTGAAACAAAGTGTGGGTGTAAAATTCCGTCGACCTAAATAAATCCGCATGCTGTTATAGAAGTTGTAAAAACCTAAAAAATGTGTGTCTATGCAAGAGCAGAAGGCTGAATCTACTTCCCTCTCCTCTGAACGTCAGTCTTCAATTTTTTGCGAACGTCATATCCGTCCTCGGCACGCGTCGGGATTTAAGATGCTACCGGTTCAATTTTTTTTCTTCACCCATTCAATGACGGAGAGTTTCCTGTTTAGCTTACATTTTTCTACAGAACTTTTTATTTTTTTTAAAGTTTCTCTAAAGATTGGTAGGATGTAGAGTTTCCGTTTTTTTTAAATTTTTTTTTATTTAAATACCTGGAAGAACTTATTTGTTAATGATAGCCAGGGGACAGTTTAGAAGAAATTTGGGTCCGTTAACGGACCCTTCAAAAAATATCTTTTCATAAAAACGGACCCTTCACAAAATTTTTTAACTTAAAAACGGACCCTTCACAATATAATTTAAGTTAAAAAATTTTGTGACGGGTCCGTTTTTATGGAAAGATATTTTGTGAAGGGTCCGTTTTTATCTTTTAATCGGACCCTTCACCAATTTGTTTATCCTCATTATTGTTTTGTTAATCGAATAAACCCTTCCCAGGAAGGGGGGGGGGAGAAAGACAGATGTAAACGAACTAAATTTTGGCTTCGACAGACGCTTCTTCCTTTATTCGTCCGAAATGATTATTCTGCGTTCAAGGCATTCTGCAGTATAGGCTAAATACCAAATATTTATGTGTTGAATCGCTNAATTAAGTCTTTATTTGCACAAATTCACAAAAGCGGACCCTGGTTGAAAGAATGTGACTTAACGTTTATTTTATATTCGCAAATTACGAGCAATATTTTCACAATTTTACAAGAACGGACCTATTACGGAATGTCTGGACAGACCCCTGATAGCAGAAATCCAATTTCAGTTCGAACGGGTCAGTGAAAATGGTCATGAACTTAAAAACACTTTTTAAATAGAAAAAATTACCTGAAATTTGAGCGAGAAAAAAGTGTATGTAGGATGCATTTATCCACAAAATGTTATCAACGTTTTAATAATATACTTTATTTAAATTGTATGGATATGAATCGCAATGTAATTTTTTAAATCACGCAAATACGAATCATGACATTTAAAAAGTCGCGTGAATCTTGATGTTTCTTTTTAAAATCTCGTAAACATTAATTCCGATCTGTAGTTAAGCTCTAATCTTAATACATAGTAGCTTTTTAATCGTGTGAAATTCGAAACGCGATATTTGATTTAAAATCGTGAAAATACGATGTGCGATCTGAAATCGCGATCTGTCATTTTAAACCGTGTGAATGTAATTTTAAATCTCGTTTGTATTGGTAGGAAAAGGCGTAAAAAAAATTTTCCTTTCGGGAATTTGATAAAAACAAACGTTTTTTGAAGATTTTTTTTTTTTAAGTAGTTGTAAATTTTCCTCGACAAAATTTCGGCGAACGGCGTTCGTGTATATTATATAGGTATAAGTTTCATAACCTTCGACGCAGAATTTTTATAAAGCATATTTTTCACGTTTTTTCGTTATTTTGTGTTTAGGTCAAAATAAGTGATATATTTAGCACTTTAATAAATTATGGTTATAAATTACTACATGAAACGCCGGTGTCTTCCGCGTTAAAGGTAAAATCATTCAAACAATTTTTAAAGTTTGCGCAGTTATTTAGCTTTAAGAGAAACAGTTATTCATCATTTAAAATGTCTCATTTCCAAAATCAATCGATAAAATTTGATTTGAAAAAAAAAAAAAATTTAACTACTCTTTGGGGATTTTATGTTTTAGTATTACTAAAAAAATATTATATAATCAAAAATATATTAACTATTAGACTGTTTTTTTATAATTCAAGAATGCCAAAATTTGTAATTAGACCATCAGAAATATATTAAAATAATTAAAAGTTTCAACTGCGACAGAGAGTTAAGTCACTGATTCGCGGACCCTTGCTTAATTTAAATTTTATGAATTTTTCGTTATATTTATCTTAATAAATGCCTCTTATTTTTTTTTATTGAATTTGAATACATAGTCAGCCCAGATTTTACTTTTTTCTATTCTTTTTTTAGGTGGATATCAAACTTTCAGTCACCTCTTTCCTGAGCTCGTCTTCCAATCTGCTTGTGCAACACCATCCCCCATCAATTCTCCTGTTCCTAGTCCTGGTGGTACTGGTCAGTTCAGGCCATTGTCTTCGGACTCTTTGGCCGGACCTGTTGAAATCCTTCCACACCTTTTCCTGGGCTGTGCCCGTGATGCTTCTCGGAAAGAACAACTCCAACAATTGGGCATCACTGCCCTGCTCAATGTGACGCAGTTTTGTCCCAATTTGTATCAAGAATCGTTTGAGTACAAGTGCATACCAGTGCGGGATACTGGGTGCGAGGATATTGGGGCTTATTTTCAAGAATCCATCCAATTTATCGGTGAGTTGTTTACCTTTATTATTTTTTTTAACTTACTGTTAGAATTTTGTTACTTTAGAGCCATTCAAAAAGATCTAAAATTTAGTTTTATTTTCAGACTGTATGTATAATTTATTATTTTTAAATCTACTGGAAAGTTCAATTTTTAGAATTCTTCTGTGTGAAAAAATATGCACTGTTTCCTAATATTAAAGTTAAACTCTGAGTTAACCAAAAAACAAAAAATCCCATTCTCTATTCACGGTAACAAGGTAGCTAAGTAAAATCGCACAGTTGTAGATGTCAACTACTTTACTCAAATTCTGCCGGGGATACTAGTGGATTTAGGATTTTTTCTTAATTAAATCAAAAGCACTACTCTTATTAATTAGATTTCCTGAAATTGGGAAAATTTTTTTATACGTTTTTCCTTCTTTAAGTCTTTAAGTATTACTGCTAAATATTTCTAATTATAAATATTTAAACTTTTAAATTCAAAAATGTTATAACTATCAATAATGAATGCATATTACTATTCAAAATTAATTCCAAAACATATTAAGCATAACATTTTACGTTAGTCCATTTAAAGCTAATGATAAATGCTAGTTAATTTAATTATACAATTATCAGAGTAATGTATTTTTGTATTTGATTGACTATAAAAAATCCTTGAAATTTCCTGTATTTTTGATATTTCTCAATTATTAGTTAATTACATAAAATAAAAAAGAGCATCGTTTTTTTTTTTACACCGCTATGCATTTTGTAAAAAAAAAAAATTAAGCCTCACATAATATTAATGATCCGTCTGCATTTAGTCATTCATATTTGTATTCTCCAAAATATAAATACGTACATATTCCTAAGATAGTATGATCAGTAATTTAATTGTCTATTATGAATGACGTATTGGGATATTGTCCATCCTATAATGAAGGCCGTTACATAGTTTTAATTCCACAATCACGTATTGCCTTGACCATGAATGAATGCCAGTTAACAATAGGTATCGGCAAAATAAAACAAAAAAAAGCTGAATAAATGTTGTAGCGGTCCATGTTTAACGGATAGTGTTGTATGACGGATATCCGCAGGATAAGGGGCATACTATTTTATGAACGAGAGGAAAAACCCTCTCCTTTCTGCAAACATCCCTTTCCCGTTTCTCTTTTCATTCTATCAATCCACGGATGTTCAGCTCTTAAAATGACCGCCATGTTTAAAAAGGGCTATTTATTCAAAGCGAATTTTTAAATTTGCGTCCAAATTTGCGCGCCTCAAAGAAAAAATATTTGTCTTTATTTTCTTTTAAAAAATATAGTATTTATAATTTTTACTGAAAAGTCTTAGCATTTTTAATTTCAAAATGGAATCGTTGAGATTTATATCATCCGATAACATTGATTTTACCCGAATAAAATTGTGTGCAATTTAAAAAAGAGTTATTTTTATCGCAAACTTAAATCTTTAATTGTATAACATAATAAAGATGTATACATATTTTGAAAAATTCATTCAAATATCTTTTTTTTTTTCGGTGTATATTTAAAAATAATTCGTCTTTTATGAACATAGATAAAACCATATTTCTGCAACAGAAATAAATTTTCAAGGTATTTTTTTAATGTTTAATTTATTTTTCAATGCGTAATTTAGGTTATTAAATAAAACTACGTATTAATTTTTTTCCCTTAATTCTTCCCTACGTATTAGTATTTATTTTTTTCCGCCCTAAAGAAATTTAATTTTAAATTAGGGAGGAAGTTATCGGCATTTATTCTAAATTGCTGTTTCTAAATATCAAAACCTGAAACTGATAAAGAAAACTATACCAATTATCCATAGTCAAAGAATAGATTATCCAATTTAAATTTTTTCATCTTTTTATTTCATTTAATATTTTAATTTATTTTTAAAAGTTGCTTTGCTATAATTTTAATTTTGGAATATTTTTAATTGTGTTTAAACATTTTTTAATGCCCTAAAGAATTTTTTTTTTGTGATTTATTGTTCTATATTTCAAACTTTTCGTGTTTTTATAAAATTTTCTTCTGCTTTTAAGATTGAAACCTCTGCATGTATCACAAGCTTTCATCCTTGAACCTTCGGGAAACATCTTGAGTTTAAAACCAAAAACAAGTTTCGTAACACTTGGCGAAGGAAGTGTATATTCGGAATTAGAAACGATTCACGACGGAATTAAAAATAGCTATCGACTTCCTGCCACAGCACGCGAGGAAACCCCATGCTAGTATTTTAACGTAAATTTTTTTGGCAGCTTTCAGATTTCACGTATTTTCATTATCGTTTTATTTTGCTTCACTTCGATTCTCACGAGCTTATAATAAATGAGTAAAAATTATCGATTGCATTGAATTCTTTCAATGGAATTTTTTTGGTTAATTATCTATCTTGTAGATTTTGCAAAGATTATGTCCCCCCCCTTTTTTTTTTCTTTTTTTTTCCCTCTCTCCTCTCATTTTAAATAATATTGAGAATCAGTGATAGGTTCTATTAACTTATTATAATAAAGATACCGTCGTTTCAGTTATGTTCTAAATAATAAGGCCGGGTCGAGATAATTGTTTAAAATCCCACTATAGACCGATAGCAAACTTGAATACAGTATTAGATTTACTTGCATTTTTATGACTTTTTACTTTATTGAACTTTTTTATATTGGCTTATTATTTTAAAGTAATTCAAATATTTTTTACTCTTAGTAAGTAGGAAAAAAAATTTCGGAAAAAAAGGGAAATGTTTTAATCCCACTTTTTTTTTTTTTTTTGCATGAACTATTCTTGTGTAGAATCACGTTCTTTGAATCTGTAGATTAAATTTGAAGATTTAAAACAGAATTTATGTAAAATTTTTTTAAAATTTATATTTTAAATTCTGTAGGTTTTATCAGCGTGAATCCCTTTAAGTTGCAATTTTTTTTCCCCTCTTTCAAGGTCTTTTGTCCCCTGAAAGACATTTTAATTGCAATTTTGAGTATTTTTTAGGGATATAAGTCGTCAAAATCATGATTCCATGTTTAATCATATGTATCTCAAAACATTAATTATTTCTCTTGAAGTTGTACCAAGAGTTAAGCTCTGCGGTATAAAAAGAACACAGGGGGGACACGTGTGACCAATTGTCCCCTTTCGAATGTCGTACGACATTTTCTAAAAGAGGACTTGAAGGGGAAGGGGGTTTCATCATTATAGTTAGTTGTGTGTTCATCCTTTTGCGTACCTTGACTACCCCCTTTTCCGAATTCTATTTAAAAGGAAGCTCCACCTACCGGAAGACTATAGCTTTTTAGTCATTGTACCGGAAGAGACTGTTCCTGATTTAGAACTCTTAGATTAGTGTGACTTCCCCTATAGAGTATGGGTGGGATATCTATGATTGCGCCCTAGCGAACGGGCGCAATTTTAAATTGTGCACGTTCTTGGCGCACGTGAATGGATAGAGCTCTAAAAATAGTCCAATGCCAGGATTGTAGACCGAATCTTTTGCAACCAGGGAAAGGAATTCTTTAATTCGGAGAAATATATGAAATAAGTACAATAGCATAATTTTTTAAATCTTGAGTAGCACTTTGATATTGGATTAGAAAAGTTAGAAAGAAAAGATTTTTTTTTTAAATTTAATTTGAACTTTACTGGACGTTTCTGGCGTCTGATATTAAAAATTCTTAATTTCACGTTTAAAAAAAATCTGCAAAATTTATTTTTTCTATTTCTTAGATTTTTTTTTTTAACTTTGCTAAANTACAATAGCATAATTTTTTAAATCTTGAGTAGCACTTTGATATTGGATTAGAAAAGTTAGAAAGAAAAAGATTTTTTTTTTTTAAATTTAATTTGAACTTTACTGGACGTCTCTGGCGTCTGATTTAAAAAAATTTTAATTTCTCGTTTTAAAAAAAATCTACAAAATTTATTTTTTCTATTTCTTAGATTTTTTTTTTTAACTTTGCTAAATTTATTTCGATGATTCGTGCTTTTTTTGAAATCTGAAATATTAGGGGAAATATTTCGTTATAGTATTTTTAGTTGTTAAGGAGGGGGGGGGTGAATATGCACCGTCCCTCCCATCACTTACTCCATGACCTCCTTTGAATTGAACTTCTTATGAAGAATAATTATTATCAGTAAGATTTTTAATTTAAAACAGTCTTATTGGTCTTACCTTAAAGACTTTAATTGAAAATAAATTAATCCTAGTCGTCTGCATATACCCGCTGTTAATTTTACTAAAATTCTGAGCTAGTATTTATTTTTACTTATCTTTACTCTAAATTAAAAGTGGTAAAGTTCACCATGGCCTTTAAAAATGGATGGGAAGTATACTTACCACGGCCTTCGAAAGGGTTTAAGTGGGTGTGTTTTGGTATCTTGATAGCAATGTTTTGTGAAAGCTTCGCAACGAATGTAAAAATGAGCAATAGTTTTTTGTGCACGTTTAGCAGAATAATTTTGCTCTTTTATTTCAAAATACGATCTACGAGCATAGGTTTCCTATTTAAACAAAATTCTTTTATTGTTCCGAAATTACATTTAAACTTCAATATGTAGTACAGTATACTCTTCGATATTTCAAAATTGAAGGGACGCTAAAAACATTTCGAGATACAGAGTTTTCGAGATCATAAGTTCAGAACTAAATATGTTCTAAGAAGTCGAAAAATATGTTCTAAAATACTACTCTAAAAAGTAGTCATGAAACATAAGAAAAACTACATATTAAATAATTATGTAATGATGACTATAAGTCTAAATACAGCAATGATAATTTTATTTTTAAAAGTAAGAAAAGATCAATTGGGCCGTCCAATAGAAAAGAAATAAGTTTACAATAAATTTACGTTATGATTTTTTCGAAAAAATTAAATTTCTGTTTCGAAAAAGATTAGCCATAACATTTTGAGAAGAAACTATTCTTCGTACGAATTCAAATTAACATTAGGGGGTTATATAATGGCAAGGAGAAAAAACAATTTTTTGACATAACAAGGTTTTTGAGATATCGAGAATATACTGTATTTTAAAGTTTTATCGTTCCGATAAAAAGGATCGCTGAAGGCTGCTCCCATTTCTCACGTTTCCCAGTTTCTCACCCCCCCCCTGCCTCAAATGAAATATTTTACGATCGCCAAATTTCCGCTTTTTTTTTTTTTTTTCCTCTTTAAGACCGTGAACAGTTTGAAGAAAATAACTGCTTTCGTCTCCAGTTTTTTTTTTCCCCTTCACTACCATCATAGACTATTTTACGAAGAAAAAAAGAAGTTGTGGGCAAAGCGTTTAAAGATTCTATAAAGAAATTGTTACCTTAGCTGTGTTTACGACCGCCAGGGTCGCCAAAAGCAAGGACTTTGAAGGAAAACTTAACTGAATGGAATGAATATCTGCATCTAGAGCGAGGTCGCTGTAAGTGAGTTTCATTGAGCGGGGGCGAAACAGGCGTAAAAATCGATACGTTCGTTTTACTACCCTATTCGCCGAGCTTTCATTTAATTTTGTCGCAAAAGTTTTAAATCTAGTTCAACCACCACAGTATCCAATCCGTAAAGGCAAATATTTTGGCCAGTTGCCAGTCTATTTTTGTTAAATCAACCGGTTATGATTAATTTGATTTATTTACCTAATTAATAAGAGTTTGAAATGCTTAAAATCGTGGATTTTCTGTTTTAAACAGGGGTCATTTTAGGGCAAATAGTTTCAATAACGCTCTATACAAATTTTTATCTTTAAAAACTCATTACAAAATATTTTACATTGAAAAACTCTTTTGAAAAACTGAGTAAACGGTTCTTTTTTCTTCCAGTATAGGTAAGGGCAGAGACAATTATGAAAAAAAGTGAAGTCTTGAAATTTGTTATGTTTAAATTCTTTAATGGTAATTTTGTGCATTTTAAATTAAAACGTCTAAAATATTGGAAGACAATCGATCGTACAGTTCTTGAGAATTGTTTCTAGTTAATGTCTCAATCTTATGAAATATTAGAATTTTGTTTTCAAAGAGCTGAACTACCTGGTATAAACGTTTACCGCAGTATAGTACTATCCGAAAATAGTTTTGTTGCATTTCTTTTAATTAGATATAAGATTGAGTGAGAATAAAATTTTTGAATAAACGCTTCTATCAGTGAGGAAAGTAAAAAATAGTTTCCTAATTTTTAAGCTTGCTTTTGATTATTCTACCTAAATCTGCTAGTAACCTTTTTTTTTATTAAAATTTTATTTAATTTCCCAGCCCTAGTTTGTAATTGTGTAAAATTGGTAAGCTGATTTTAAAAGTACTTTTGTAATTATGCTTCCATTAATATTGTTTCAATTTCTTACAATTTATTATTTTTATTTTTATTAGATCAAGTGAGAGCTCAAAATGGTAAAGTGCTGGTTCACTGCCAAGCTGGTGTGAGCCGATCTGCCACGATTTGCATTGCTTATCTCATGGCTACCAGACGCCTTCGTATGGAAGAAGCTTACAAATATGTCAAATCTCGACGAAGGATAGTGTCTCCAAATTTCAGTTTCATGGGCCAACTCCTGACTTTTGAAAATCAAATCTTCGCCTCCAATGGATCTCGATATCATTCGTCCTCCCCAAGTTCACCCCTACTAGGGGTGGTCGCCTCAACTCCCGACCCAGATTCACTAACTCCGTCTTGCGGCGCAAAACAGCAAAATGTATTCGATTTTGTAACAGTTTCTTCAGCCTCCACAGCTGAAGCCCTAATAACTTCAACAGCGCCATCTATCGGGTTACCAGAAAAAGAATTTGCCAACATTTCGAACGTTATTGTAGATACCTGCCATAAATTAACTTTATCACCATGTTTAACGTGATTGTGAACTCATTTCCGCATGTGTTAGTGTACTTAATGTTCGAACTTATCAGGGAATCTTACTAATCTGGTCCAATTTGTACTTGTTAATTCATGCAAGAAATTTTTTTTAATGAAGGTCTTTTTTCTAAACAGTGAAGTATATACTCAATTTTAGTCCTTCACTACAGTTTAAAAAAAAAAAAGTTGCAATATTCTTCATTGAAAATTATACTGGTGTATAGGAAACAATGTTTCAAATCTTTATAATAATTCCAACTTTCATATTTATTTGGCTCAAAGATGAGACTAAAAAAGAGACATTATTCAATATCTTTATATATAAAGAAATTTTTCCATGCAAATGACTTGACAATTTTTATTGTCAATCTTTGAAAGTTGACTGTAGCATTTTAAAAAGCATAAGTATTTTAATGTAAGCAGATCGTAGTTTTGTTTAAAAATATTTTAAATTGCCCGTAAAATTTTTTAGTTGCATCATTGTATTTAATTTTTCATAAGGATGTTCTATAACGTTATTTTATTACTTCATTCTTATTTTATTTAAGATGCCTTGAAATAGGCTTCTAAATTGTTTCCCAAATATTTTATTGATGTCTTACTTTCAATAAAGTTAAAAATTAAGGCTCCAAGAAAGAGTATTTTTGTAAATGACAATAAAGCAATTTTTATTTATATTATTTTTGCTATGAAAGTTATTTTTTTTCCCTTTAAAGTATTTTTTTAAGCACAAGTTTTTTGTTGCAAATTAATCTAAAGCAATAATTTGAAGTTTCAAGCTAATTTTAGTTTCTCCGAAAATATGCAGAGTTTTGTCAACCATTAAAACTAATAAATCTAAATAATTACTAAATTTTGATAAATATATCCTGATGCTATGATAAAATGTTAGTGCTCATATCTTAGCTGAAATCTCAATGTTCAATTTCTATCTTGGTCTATTGAATAGTTTTAAAACTACTAAATTTTACCAAATCTGTTATAAATATGCATATGGAATTAAGAATGCTGCTATGATTGTTTACTATTGCATCATTTGTAAATATATTTACTGTCAAAAACTTGAATATATTGTGTGTGGAAAATGTGTGGTCTAATTATTCATGTAATTGGTGTGTTCGGAATCAGTGTAATATTGCATCTAGAATATTTTTATGGAATGTAGTTGAATTTTATCTAGTCTGTGAACTAGTCTGAGAATTTTAAAAGCTGTTTAGAGAAATTCCATCAATTCTGGTGCCTTTTTAAATGTGGAAATGAGAGCTTCTGTTATTTTATAAATTACTATTATATTTTTAAGTGTATACATTTTTAAATTTTTTGCAGATTATCCAGACATTTTTGCAAATTAAATTTTTTATGCTCAAAATTCTGATAATTAAATATAAAATCTTTCAAAACAATTCTGTGAAATATTTGTAATTTGTGAATAAATCAAATGACTGTTCTTTTCATTTGGGAACTTAAGCCAAGTAAATTTTAAAATTTCGTATCTTGGATGACTTTTAAGCTAACTTTTTCTAAGCATTTAACTTTTATCATAATATTATACTAACATTTATATATTTTTTTAAAAATTTTGTCCGGTTGACAAACTAAATTTTTTCAAGATACGATTATTTTCTTAACTGGAAACTATTCTTTTTTTTAAAGGTTCCTTAAGACAAATATAGTACCCCTACACCATTATCGAATTCTAAGTTAATTTAGCCATCTTTTATTTAAACGATAAAATAGAGTAGAACTAAAAAACAATTTTACTCTTCTAATCTGCATTTCTAATTATTACACAGGCTTTATGCTTTGACCAAATGATAAGAAATTTCAGTGATATTGGAAGGGATTAGATAACAGAATGTTTTTGTAGGTGTTTTTAATTTTTTCGAATTGAGCTCTTTTTAATTATTTGCTTCTGTAGGATTTTTGATATAATTTTTGTTACTATCTGTTAAAATAGACTATAGTACCTATTTGATAAACTAGATTAAATTTAAATCATTGAATTCGATTTAAATTGAATATTTACGAATTTAATTCTGATTTACGAATTCAATTCTGATTTACGAATTCAATTCTGATTTACGAATTCAATTCTGATTTCCGAATTCAATTCTAATTTACGAATTCAATTCTAATTTCCGAATTCAACAATTAAAGTAAAGCTTAGATGTAAATTTCATTTTTTTTCTTTTTTAATATATCAATTTCTTAAGCAAACAATTGTAACTTAAATTTGGTTATGATGATTTGGTTACCAGATTTTTCTGTGTACAAAATTTGCAGAATAGATTAAATTTTCAGGGTATTGCCCATTATTAACAAAAATAAGTGAACCAATTACATTCTATAGTATTTACAATAAATTTGAACAGCCGCTAGATGGCGTTTGAAATGAATCTAAAACTAAGGATGTTATACTAATGACACTAGTCTCGTCACCAATATTTCTCGTTTGGTCAAAGAGTTGGATTTTCAATTTATTTAAACTTTTATCTTATTTTCTACGTCAAAGTAATTTCTTATTCGTTACTTTAATGATGTAGTAGTTTAAATTTTTACTGGACTTAATATCTCCATAACCGAGCTTCTCTGTTTGCTCATTAAAAAATTTTAATGTCATAGTTTTCTAACTGTTACCATACCATTAAAGACGGCATATCTCTAACACAAATGAAGAGCAATAGTTTATGGAAGTTTCACATTTTATAATGGATTGTTTGCTTTTATATTATCCTTCATCACTGTATTAAACAAATATTTGTAAAAAAAGAATTTAAAAAAAAGAGAAAAAAAACAATGTTGCATACCTAATGTGTTTGATACATGAAGATTCACATGAGCATCGTAGATGTTTAAATGTGGCTGGTCATTAGTTTCATTTGTGACGTCATGTGTATCTAGTCAACACTTATAGTAGCCATTGCACATAGATGAATATCTAAAGAAATTATATCTATATGAATAAATATCTGAAATTGAATTGTTTCTTTATTTGACTCTATTTTAAACACTTTTTTGTTCACATTTTTTAAATTTAGTCTCTGCCATCATCAACTCATATCATATAACTCGTCCTATATGAGATATATTTGTAACCAAGGGAGATTCTTCAGTCTTGGTTATGAAGATATTAATCCTCTAATATTTTTCCAATTATTGAAAGCGTCTTGTATACTGAAATTCTTCAAAATTAGGTACCTATAAGTGACGTCACGCTGGGGTGTGGAACTGCTGAATCGCGGCTTTTGTTTTGCCATTGTTATTGTGTGTACTTTGGACAGTGGGATAAAGTTCCTAGTGTCATAAGATACTGTGGTAACAAGGATTCTATTATCAGATGGATACATCAGGGTTAAGACTCGTTATAATCGAAAGATCAGGGTTATAATCGAAAACTTGAGTTCTCTTTATATTTATTTCGTACTTTTATGCAGATTGAATAACAATTGCAATATTCATGTCTTGTAATTTATATTTGAAACAATTTACTAGCCTCTTCCTGATATCAGTTGGGCTAATTTTTTAAAAATTGTTTTAATAACTTAACTTATTCATAAGGAAGGTGAAAAGAAAACACTTGTAGTTAGAAATCAAATCAATTTTTGAGTGAATATGACTTTCAGAGCTAGAATGTTGACTTATTAACAGGGTTGGCAAATTTTTTTTTTACATATACCAGTGAAGGCTCTGATAAAATATATCAATAATGTTTAAAATAAGATGTATTAAAAACAACATAACTAAAGTATTTAATATTTCTTGTTAAAATTATTATAATTCAAACTAATCGGCGTTTTTTCTCAAATGCAATACTTAGTTAATACAGACCAAATTTGTCAATTAGATATGAAATCAATTTAGATCAAGAAATATCAACAGCTTTTCAACTACCACTATCAAAATTCCTTAGCAAAAATCATAAAGCTTGGCAGTTGTGCTGCTCATATCACAAGTAGCCGACTTTCATAAAACTTTTATTTCCAAGTTTAAAATAAAATTAAGTGAATCTATTCAAAACTTGAAATTGAGGCCAAATCTAGAAAAGCGGGGTCCCCCACGGTTGTCACTTTAAATCAAATTATGAAGAGTTTAAATTATTTATAACATAAATAAATCACGATATCTAAGTAAATTTAATGTTATATTTATTTAAATAATTGTTAACTCTGAATTCTTATAGACAAGTCTTACGGAAAAAGACAAATAGAATATATTTGTAACAGTTAGAGGCCTTATGATCAATCAGACCCTGCTTAAAATATCGTTTGCTTAAATTAGCCTATTTAAGATCAACCTCTTGTTAATGAAAATCCGATTCTTCGTTAAGCTAAAAATCTTGTTTAGTGGTCTGGAAAATTTTTACTAAGTGATAGTAAAATTATATTTTAAGCGGGAAGTGCTATCCAAGAATTTAATTAAAGCCAACGCATAAAATCTTATTAATAAATCACATATACAATATATGAATATTTAAATTGTTAATTTATGATGATAAGTAACATTTATAAACTTCAATTACTAAGTTTTTCACATTGAAGCATGAATCTTGCTCCTCCAAATAAATGTTTTCTTTACTCTACTCTTACAGTATGGTAAAAGTGTCACTTTTCTTTAAATTAAAAGTAAAACCAAAGCTTCATAGGATCTAGTTCAAAACAAAAGAATAGTTTTTAAGTTTACGTATAGATGGCAGCATTAAATTTTATGGCAACAACCTAGCATGAGGAGAACAATATTAAACTTATAATTCAAAGCACAATATAGTCAATATTTTATTATCTCTTACAGTTATAAACAGGAAGCAATAGATCCTAACACCATAAAAATGATTTTATTCTTTATTATCAATATAGATTTCCATCATGGTGATTTTAGCTTTAAAATTATCTAATTAACATCACTTTTTTATTTTTTGACAATTTATTATTTCACTTATTTAATATTTTTTTCTGTTTCAACTATGGTTTCTATCGCCCATTTATTATTTAACTATTTTAATAAAAAAATTTGACTGTAAAAAATACATAAAATAGAATTATACACACAATTTATATGCAATATTAATAAATTTGTGGAATATGCAATTATTGTATTATTTCTGAACAATATAAATAATACGCATCATAAATAATAATATGCATTTATTTATATGCAATATAAATTAATAATAAGGAAAAACTATCAGAATTTAGTTAAGTCATATTTACAGCTGACGAAAAAAAAATTAGTCTTCTTAGGTTTCAAATATTTAATTTGTAGATATAGATGAATCTCGATACTAATTTTTTTTAAATAACCAGTGGAAGATATTTAAGCATCGCAACATTAATAATCAAGTTTAAATTTATTCATAATATTATTAAAACAAAATTTAATGAAAGAACAATAAGTTATGACAGTAAGTATTAAGTTATGACATATTATGGCAGTAAGTGTCACTCGAGGACAAAAATACTCGTGAAGAGCAAGTTAGTTTTTGTTCTAGTATTTTCAAGTTAGTTATATTTCTTCATTGAGTCTGTTCAGGCACAGGTAAAAAAACATGTTCACATTTAAAACATAAATTGTTATTGTTTTAATTATTTAGATATAATGCATTATCTTAACTATTTCTTTAATTTTAATATTTGTCTATATTTAACCTTCCTAAGGTACATTGAGAAACAATAATTATGCTTTTAATAACATTAAGACAGCAATTAAGTTATCGTAAGTTTCTGGGGCAATAAATTTTTAAATTCATCCTAAAACTTCATTAAAAAAATATTATGAAATCTTAACCTTATGACTGAATTTCAAACTCTTATTATTTTTGTAAAAGCTAAAAATAACTAGCTGAATTAGGTGATAATTCTTAATTTGATGAGGTCTTACATCAGTTAACAGATGGCAGCACTAAAACTAATGTAGTCTTGGTTATATTTCCAAATCAACATTTCGACTAGTAGATGGCAGCACTACAACACATGCGGATAATAAATCCTCTATAATAAGTAATTTTTTTGTTGACATTTATTAAGTTTATAAGTTCTATTTATTTGAACAAGTACTTACTTGAAATTATTCTTTGATCTGTTGATAAATGGAAAATATTTGAAGTTTTTAACATGATATTTTACATTCATTAACAGATGGCAGCACTAAAACTAACTTTGTCTCGGTTATATTTCCAAGTCAACTTTCAGATAAGTAGATGGCAGCACTATAACATATGAAGAAAATGAAACTTCTACCCTATGTATTATTTATTATTGGCATTAATTAAGTTTATGAGTACTATGTACAATTTATTAAAACTAGTATTCACCTGAAGTTATTCCTTGATCTGTTGATAAATGGAAAATATTTACAGTTTTTAATAAATAGTTAAATGATAGGTAGATAGAGTAAACGGATATTATCAAGTTTGCAATAAAAACTAATACGATATTATCAAGTTAAGCCAATTTTAAGTTATTCAGACAGCAATCCCGAGTAATATTATTATATACTATATTTTTTTCCTTTTGTTTCATCACAGCCTGGCAGTGACTTATGTCATAAGTTATGTCAATATAAATGTGCGCAATGATGACTTTGACGCCAGAAAACGACTTGCTAAAAAACTTCAATTTTTATCCGAATCGACTAAAAATTTAGTTAACCTTTGCTGTAGTTTTCGCTTCGGAAAACAGGGACTAAGAAGAACTAAAATGAAATGGTGGCTTATTAAATAAAAGTTCGAAAAGTCAGGATTTGTTATTTAATTAATGAAAAATATATAAACGAAATGGAAGTTTTTTTAAAAAAAAAAATCCAACACAAGATGGAAAATACAGGGTGTCTCATAAATACTGCCTGAAATCTCTTGATCTAATGTTTATAGAAACAGGGTTCCAGTTCCAACTGAAGAAATTTTTCAAATTAAGTTAGCTTTCTTTGTATGATAGTTTTGGTCACGTGACGTGTTTAAACTTGTAATTAATTAACTTAATTTTTAAAGAAGTAAACTTTTTATACAATGTTTTAATATGTAAACCTTGAACTAGAAAAATTTTTTCTCTGTACTCTTAAACGAGACTGTAAATTTTTTTAGAAAAAAAGCCTTGTAAGAATCATTTTAAAAAAGCAACTTAAAAATTATAAATTAAGCCACTTTTGCGCAAAGAAATAAAAGAGAGAAGAAGTCTTTATAAGGGATCGTATCCATATTGCATATCGTCGTAGAAACCGCGATGAAAACTTTTCTTACTTACATAGGGGTGGTTACCAACTTATTTTGAATAAATATGTAGAAATTAAGAACATTTTAATACGTTAAACGGAATTTTTTAATTTTATCTCTCTCTTTAATTTTATCTTATCTCTAACTAAATTTATGAAAAATATAAAAAGAAAATTGAATTATCTAACTGTGAAAGATTTTTAAATGCAAGCGACTTTAAAATAGATTTTTTTTTTTATAGTTTATTCTCTTTTTGTTGAAATTATCTACAGGAATTAACCTTTAAAAATGAACACCTGAAATAGATTGATCAAAATAAAGTTGTTAAAATTAATATTTATTTATTTTTTTTCTCATATATTTGAGAGAAATAACAATTTCGCATCACAGTTTATTCTTTTTCGTTAAAATATTTGAATAAAATTTTCTCTCAATAATACGAAACAAAGTTATGAAAATTGCTCCACTAAAACTAAAATTTATGTTAAAAATAAAATGCGTTGGAGATCTCAGAAAACAGGAAAATAAAAACACTAAAATCTTAATTAAGTGAAAATAATATTTTATAATTTTTTAAAAGTTTATTTTAGAGATAGTTGGCAATTACACGCTTACAATTTACTTTAGAATACTCAGAATACTTTAGAATACTCTACCTCGATTTAAAATTTAAGTTTAAAAAAAAAAAACTTTGCAACATACTTAATTTTATATTCCAAATTTTAAAAGAAAGGAATTTAAATAATAAATAAAGGTAAATTATATTTCATCATTTT